GGCACCATACCACCCTCAAACAAATGGCCTAACTGAACGTGGGCTGGGTGCCAAACTAGGTAATTGGGAGATGAACTTGCCGATGGTGTTGCTAGCGCATCGTGCTTCCTTACAGTCAAACACAGGCAAGTCCCTGTTTATGCTGTTGTATTGTCGAACTCGGCGCCTTCGTTTGATCAGGAAATTGGCTTGTGGCCGGCAACACGCTTGTCTGCGGAGCAGGTCAAGGCAGAAGGAAAGAAAGCCCGAGAAAACTAAACTGCCGTTCACGAAAGGACTAGGCAGAAAGGCACAAACCTTCCCCATAGAAACGATGGTCAGGAGGAAGGATCACCAGAATACTGGATAGAGTGAATTGGGGTCGCGGAATCTAGACAGTCGATGGCGGGGTCCGTTTGTTGTTGCCGACCGCCTGGTGAACGTCTATATGATTAAAGATGGCCGTGGATCGAAAATTGTAAATGGAGATTCGATTCGTAAGCGGCATAATACATCGAAATGACCTCCGACTAGAACCGCTGCAGAAGCCGACCTGACGGATGTAAATGAAATGGCATGCGATGCGAACGAATTTTAAAGGGTGGTCTGTAACGGTGATACTGGTGATGGGGGAGGCATGTGAGTAGCAAGTCGTTTTCTCGTAAACTCGCTTGAGAAGAAAAATCTTTGCGGAATTTGTTTACTCGGTTTGTACAATTTGTTTGAACGTAAGCAACACTCAATGACTATCCGGGAGTGTTCAGCGAGAAGCGTTTAATTGAACATGGGTGTTCAGGTTTCGTAACTAGGATTCATATGAGACGTTTGCGTAATCGTACAGTAGTCTGTAACAGGTCAGTTGGCATTTTGTGTGAAATTTCTCGGCAGCAAGATCTTCCTGTCACTGATATTAACCAGAGTTTGGAACAGTTCTAACTGGGATACATGTTTTCACTGTGACGTTTTAATACAAATAGCCGCATTATTGTCCCCGGAGACCAAAGGAATTTAATAAACACTTGAAAAACCAGCAGGTACGTGAAAACAATTCTGTAGACTCAGGTTGCTACCCAGTACTCCCTGAAGTGCTCAAGGAAGTCACAGAGAACACCACAAGTCATTAATGTGCGCACATTGCTGCAATAAATTTTCACAAGTGCAAATGATCAGTCATTGAACCAGCTGACCAAAATGGATCACCATACTCTCATGAGCATAAAATTGTACCGCAAACCTATCAGATTTGTGGTGGATACCTGATTTCACATTTCCGCAATATATTTATAAGGCAAAGTTCGATTCGCACGAGACAGTAAAAAATGTCAGGCACATGAAGCTTCAAATAAGCCTGAATATGATGCCTGGTTTTTCGATTCTAACTGCGTTCTTGTTCTGCATCGTCCACGTTGCATGGTTAGAAGCCGTCGTTATCCAAAATTGGTCGTCCTAATTTAAAAATAATCCGCCGAAAAACTGGGTTGTTCTTGACGCTGGTTCCAGCACCTGGGGAAATTATCGCCATCACGTATGTTTCCGTTGGTTTGAGGCTCAAACGTTTTCAAAGTGGAAGTTTGCAATAATGGTCCCCAAAACAGTTGCGTCCTCTAGTGTTCTCCATGGTTTTGATATTTCACACGAAAAGGGGGTGGATAGACAACGCAGCTAATAGAAAGACCAACGGACACATTTTGCGGCTTTTATTCGTTTTAGTCAGTAATTTCTTGCCGAAAAAAAGACATTTTGCATTGGGTAGGGTCGTTTCTCCGGTCCTGCTAAACTCAGATTTTACTGAGTGCGTAGTGTGATTCACGTTAATGGCAATCCGACTTTCGTCACCCATATGTGTTTATTGTTGCTTTATGTTAGGTAAAATGACGGCCTGTAAGTGCAAGGTGTGGTGTTATATAAAACATGAATTCGATGGTTTTCCAGGCACCACTAATCATCTGACCTGACACTGTAGCTTTATTAAATTAGATAAACGATCTCGGGATCCACAGTACCGTTGCCTAAAAAGACTTGTTGTATGAACCAGGTCTCAGAAATCTCAACAGATACCACTGACGTATCAACAACATTGCCTGTTACGGCAACAGCATCGGAATAGCTAGGTAATGTGAGCGGATAGGTATATGCTACTTGCAGTTTTTAGTGAGAATAATAAGCGTGTATTTGGAATAATCATATAGAAATCGATCTCGGTCAAATACGGCCGTCCGCTCGTCTATCATTTGCACGGGGTTATATGAGAATCGTATTGAAAATTTTACACACAATTAGTGCTTCTGTATCCATTCTAGAGATTCAGTGGGAATATATTTTTCCCACTGAGTTTCGCTGCAATGTGACCATTTATCTAATGCACAGGCGAACGACAGATTTGGACGGGTTTTCGAAGTTAAGGGATACCGAAATTGTACAGCTTCTGTGAGCAGGTCGTTGTGCGAACACTTAACTGAATGTAGAACTGTGGTCCACACAAGCTCTTCCAGAGAAGAAACATGCTTCCTGTTCGTGGGATAATGCATCCCAAAACTGTTGGGATAACTGATACTCCATCAATTATGGACTACCCTGCACAACCTGCTTACCTTCTTCAGAATCCATGCCCCACTCCGCCTTTTATCCTTAAGTCACGTGTGATTTGTGTTCTCATTCAGGCTGACGTTTACCACACGCATCAAGTCGTGCGTGCAAACTAAGTTCCAGCGGAGAATATGATTACCTTCGCCTACGACGATATTGCAAACAATCCCAAGTGAGTATAGCGTAAAATTTTCGCTGAATGGTAGCAAATATAGTGTACAAAAGGCGGTTCGCTGTTTAGCTTTAACAGGTCTCATTGTTTTTCCCTATTTCTCATATATTTAATTGTTGAATTTAAGCTGCAGATATTTATGGGGTTTTGTGTGTCACTTCAGATGTCTTAACAGATTTTCATTAGGTTGATGCCTTTTAATGAATGTAGATGCCATAGAACCCTGATGCAAGCAGCACCTTCTGATTATGAAGTTGGCGATGGTGATGATGATATGTACTCGTTTGAATGCTCGTTTCCGCAGTATGAAATGAAACACACTGATATCTAGATGTCGCTCTAGTGCATCAGCTGATGATTTGGAACAAAGTAGACAATTTAGTAATCTAAATATTTTGCAATGCAGCCAAAGAGAAGAAAAGCCCTCTAAAAGCAATAAAGTTAGTTCTTGCAAGCAGAATTTAACAATCGTAAATCGTTTATAGCTAAATCGTTCATTCGGCTCTAGCATCATTGAGGTGCCTGGCTGCAATGTCCCACGACAGTTGTACAAGGCCTAGGATACTGCCAGGATTCCCAAGCCTCCCAAGAGATCGGGAGGCAGGGGAATGGTGGTAGTACGGAACGTCCGGTCGGAAAATTCGCATTTTAGCCACTTGGGCCATCTTCATGTACAATTGAATTAAATTTAAGGACAATGAATATGGATATGCTCAGATAATCTTCTACTGGTGGTGTTTGGAGGTAAATTCACCTAAATAATTAAAATTTGCACAAAATTTGTAATTTTCATTGCGGTGCACACTACGCAGATCATCGTGGAATACCTAAAGTATTTATTCGCAACGGATTACTATTTACCACTTAATCGAATGTGTGACAGAATCGCACACATCGTCGTGAAAATTTATTTCAAAACAAGCCCACCAACCCGATTCAAAGAGAAATTATGAGCGTTTAATTTCTTTCATTTCCACCTACATGTTGATTTCTTCCAGAGGACTCACCTAAATAATTAAAATTTGCACAAAATTTGTAGTTTTCATTGCGGAGCACACTACGCAGATTATCGTGGAATACCTAAAGTATTAATTCGTAACGGATTATTATTTACCAATTAATCGAATGTGTGACAGAATCCCACACGTCGTCGTGAAAATTTATTTCAAAACAAGCACACCAACCCGATTCAAAGAGAAATTATGAGCGTTTAATTTCTTTCATTTCCACCTACATGTTGATTTCTTCCAGAGGACTCACCGCCACATTTCATTTTTATTCCAGAAATCCGTTTAAAGGCAAAGTTTTCCATGACTACAACCACGTTGATGTCTACAATGGTGTGATAATTGACTACCGAGGAAATGTGAGTCTGTGTTCTGGTGCGCAGCAATCAAGTGAATTCCTCCAACAGTTCACCGTGTAACAAAAGATGCAAGTGAAATGACACTGCGGATCAAAACACAGTACAAGCCGTAGCGCATGCCATTTAGTTTTACCATATTACAGAATGTCCACTCCATTTGAACGAGCATTATTCATAACACTGGTCATAGCTAACGGTCAGGCAGCGCATGCCCGAGTTCAACTTTCTGCTTTTGGCCTATCAATTAGGCTGGCGTTCTTGTCAAAAGAACCACCAAACGTGCACGAGGACCAACAGTGCCAGAATAGCTTTCTCCGGGAAAATATCCTGTGATATCCCGAGTGATGCACCAAACAAAACAAGCAGCATGTCCAGGACAGCACATCCAGCTAAAGCATATCATCGATAAGAGATGTTCGAACGTGGTTCAGTTTGAGTTCTAACGTGTGATACTCACTTCAATTATGTTGTATGTTGTACGTATGTTGCCTTCCTCAGATACCGAGGTAGATAAGGTATACTTGGTAGTGCTTCAGGGTAATTCATGTTCAACTCAACTACCAACCCTAGGCTTGGGGAGCAAATCCAAATGTCATCCTTGGCAAACATATCAACAACCGAAATCTTCAGTTTTCAGCAAACAGTGACCATTGCGGGAATACAATGAATGAAGTTGGGGAGCAGATCCTAGATTTCACTTATTTCTTATGGTGAAAGTGGATGGTTACTGGGAAGAGAATGAGTGCTGGGAACAGCATTGTCAGAGGAATAACCGGTCATGCATGTTAATCCGTTTTAGGATGTCACACGAGACAACTTCGTGAGAGTATTAAAAGGCGATAAGAAACTTGAAAACAACAAGAAGAAGGTGCTGAAAAGGTGAGTTGGCGCGGAAGTGGATATTGTTGATGCACTGGCTGATCACAGCCAGGATTCTCGTTTTGCATGTTACCGTCTTCGTATTTACGAAATGCGTGTTTCGTATTCTCGTAAGTAACTTGGTACATAATCACCTTCAGTAAGCCTCCCAGAAGTCAGTCAAAAGGATTTGCTCACTCCACGGGAAACACGGTTTATCCATTTCTGATTTCGGGTTATTATTTAATCATAGACAGTCGGCACTGCACAGAATTTTCAAAAATATTCAGATATGCGCAGTTGTGACTGTTCAAATGTCTCGTCGAACTTGTGGAACATGGGTCGGCCGATCTTGGTTTTCTCGGATTCAGGAATTGTTTTAACTCACGGTGTTGAACAAGGCAAATAAACACTGTTGTTTGGATGATCGAAATCCAAGTCCACTGTCGGTTAATGGCGGTCCCTTAAGTCTGTATCGCTATTCACTCATAATACCCTAAGCTTTTAGAATACCTGTCTCGCTTATGTGGGCTGGTAACGCCGAAGTTGTTCTTTCGAACTTCCACCCACGCCTTCTTAACCCGCACATGATCAGATGAGGAGCGACGGCATACAGAGACAAGCGGGAAACAAGGCAAATTTTTATTCGCCCGCAAACTTTAAGTCTCTCAAATGGTCAATTATACACAGTTTGGGATTTCAGTTGCGACGTAATCCGTAATCACCCGCTCGTTTTGCGTGTTTTCTGATCAAACGTTGTTTCGTACAGGGACCTACGATGGATGTTTCCGTACTTATTCCCAGGTCTCGCGAACCGAACCTTTCCTTTCGCAGTTTGGCAGAAACCCCGTCCATTCAAAAGATTTTGTGAACACTGACTGTTGAGCCGCCAAGTGGTATTTTATTTCTTATCGCCTAGAGTATTAGGTTTGCGCTGCCTGTCACGGACATTTTATCCTGTTGTGGCAGGCTAGTTTTCAGCGAAAACACATTTTCAGACAGAATATTTCGTTAGGCATATTCAAAAGAGTTATTTTTCGTTGCATGGCACATTGTGAGTCTAATTGTTTGCATTTTAAAACTTGGCCAAAGTTGTACAAAACTTTATCTAAGATGAGCTGGAGTGCAACACATTAGAAATCGGTAAACGGTCAATCAGACCACGGAAGGAAAGTGTATGCTCCCTTCAGCCAGTCATAGCTGTATAATATCACACAGGTACGGAGTGACATCCAAACCAACCACTCACACATGATGTCACTTCAGTTAGTGATGAAACATTTGCAAGCTCATCACCACGAGCAGAGAACGAACGAACACCATCTTGGGCAACGACCAACAAACGGAATATTTCCAGATCAGTTTTAGATAAAATCATATGGCTTTTTGGATATCCATGTTAGAAATGGAGGATCGCACAACCGAAATGTTTACTTAGTAGTGTATATATTATGAAGATATTTCATTAAGCAGATTTAATCATTCTAACTAGAGCGTGTTTTTAAAAGAGCTAGGCGTAACTGTTCCAACGGCAAGATGAAAAAACTAGCTAAAGTAGAAAACTGCTTCCAACCAACTTCATGAATTTAAAAACCATAGGAATTAACCAACAGGCGTACAAAGAATCAAATATCCTTGCCATATTCACGTGCCCATGCAAAAAGCAGACCAGTGGAAGTTAATTTAGCTACTGATTATATCCAGCAGCGTGTACAAAACAATATTCTGAACTACGTGTTGGCTATGCTTCCATTGCCGCGGGCATTTTCTTGTGTTTTCCTATGCGTTAGTGCACCAGCCAATAAGCTACTCTTCGAGATCACTTTTGCCTTTCTGCCCACTAACAGCGGTCCTAATGACAACGTGTTCATCTTCTATTCGGGCCATGGTGGGACTTCCTATATTGCCTTCCTAGAAGAGAATGTAAGTTTAGTTAATTTTGGTAACCACGGTTTTAGCACGCAGTTTTTTAATCGGAAGCTACATAGCGAAAAATTTTGAAAAGGCTTACGTAAACATTTTGGTGCAATGACATCGGTAATTCTTTATAAAAGAGAGTTTGTAGTCAAGCTGTTTTGCACATCAACCAAAAAATGGAACACAAGCAACGATGTTCGTACGTCTCTCTCACTAGTGATATCCCTAGGAATTCAAGTTTGGTAGGTCCCGTCAATGTGCTTTAAATGACACCGACACATAGGGTTTGNAACGCAAGTTTGATAGGTCTCGTAAGGTGCCTTCAAAGACAATTTCACATAGATTTTGTTTGCGAAGTCTAAGATCTTTCAACTCACGTGATTTCGATCCATTCAGACTGCTGATCAAACTTGGACACCATAAACAAAGAAGCAGGTCGTTAACTGTCACTCATGCGGCGTGGATTATACGAGGGATGCGTTAAACAAATACTTCCAGACAGGACAACACACACCATTTTGCTTCTACGTGGACAGCGGAAATCTTTAGTAGTATGAAAATGTTTTCGTATTTCTATATGAGAAACCACTCTGAGAAACCTACCAACAGCCTGGTTTATCCGCATTAAGTCAGGGCATAACGTGGCTCATTCTTCAACCAAGAAATCCAAATCACTGGTGGCTGACTCAGCGAGGAACGCATCACGAGCTCACGAGAATATTTCTTCCTGTCTTGCGCTATCTGTATCCAATGGAGCTGAACGATACCCTCGCCTACATACATTAAAATGTTTAACAAATTAATGCTGTACGTGGAGGCTTGCAAATCTGGCTCAATGTTTATATATGTTCTTCCTTCAAATATGGGAAGTAAGGAGTGTAACTTTCTGCCTAATTCATGGATGGATCTTGTGAAATAACATTCAGAAAGTCAAAAATGTTAAAAAAGCGGCGTTGACCATTTACACAGAACGTAGGTCAAAGCTTGGTAAATACATGTTGAGTCCGCGATTTGTGTATGGAAGTAGCCCATGTGGTGGTCTGCATACACAATAAATTAGTTTACCAGGAGTGTGTGGCAAAGAAATAAAAATAATTACGCTAGGTTGGGTATACAAAAAATAAAGAAATCCGAGGGAACAGACTCAATAACAATTGTTCTCTTTACAATAGTTCGTCCTTGGTCCAGGTCAGCGAATAAACAATAATCGAATTATGTTGGTCCAGAGGTCTTCTTTTGAACAGTTCCCACATATAATAGATGTTTGGTGTCAGAGTTAGTAGATGAGACCCACGAATGACCGCTGCAAGCGCGAGCGAAATCAGAAGATAGAGTCGAAGCGCGTGAACACGCTTGCATTATGTAAAATTGTACAACTGCGCGTTTTTGTGGTTTTTCGTATTTAAACAAAAACTATTATGCAATTGATGAATTACGTAGTGTTATAATGGAAGTAAAACAAAGGTAAAATGCGCCACTCTACTCCCCCACCAGAGCGTTGACCGATAAAGGAGAAATCGCTCGAATAAACAAAGTAGCAATCACAAAGTCGCCCACTTCAAGTTTCGTAATCAGCTAAGTGCAGAGGGAACTGACTGGTGGAAGGGATGAGGTTGGCGCGAGGGTTATCTTGGGTATTTGGAGTGAATTTCGATAACATTGATGGGGACATCATAACAAAGTTAGAAGTGTTTCCTCGTTGCGTCTTGTCGGACAAACACAAAAGATGTAGAAGAGATACCGGCTGAGGCGTTCTGTTCGCTTCGAGCGTATGGTCGGTCTCGCAAAATTTCGGGCATATGCTGTTTCAGACGGGTGACGAATGTGACGGGTGATTCGGGCTGTGGGCCAGAAGGGGAAAGCCGTTTACCGGGTAAACGTAAAGTTGTACCGTACACTAGTTCGGCTGGTGAACAGTGAAGATCCTCCTTAATAGCGGAGCGAATAGCAAGCAAAATGAGGGGTAAAGAAGAGGACCATGAAAATGGGTTCATTTGGGCAGTCAATGCAGCTTTGAGGTAGCGATGGAAACGCTCAACCAGACCGTTGGAACAGGGATGATA